CCCCGCAAAAATATGAAGGAGAACAAGGAAGAGTCACTAAGGATCTGGCTACTTAAGACAGAGGGAACAACAGAGAGACAACACTCTGGCAGGAACAGCTCTTAGGTTCATCTGCTAAACTCTCCTCCACTTACTGCTTCCTCACAAGTTTAACCCTGGGGCACACAATCTTTATTTTTCCTGTACAATTTAGATACAAAGTTTGTATTAAATTTGCTTTGGGACTGTGCACAATCCCATCTAGCACACATCCCCTTCAACACAACTTGAGCGTCCCTTATCCAAAATGCTTGGCAGCAGAAGTGTTGCAGATTTCAGAACAATTTGGATATTGAGTTCTTGGATTAGGGATGCTCAACCTGTGTAATGAAGTACTGATCCAAAGCAAGAGGATTTCCCTGTTAGAGTCCTGTTAGCATAGCTGTGGTAACATAGAAGGACCTTCAGATGAATAATTTGGACTAGTGAGATACTCAAGAGGGATCAACGTTAGGAAGAGCAAGAGGAAGAGAATGGGACTCAATCATCTAAAGACTTTATATTTTATGAAAAGGGGGGGGGGTTAAAATATTAATTATAAATTTTGTATGCTTTTGCTATATATATATTTAATGTATCAAAATGGAAAGATTAAACAAAACAAATGATGACAGGAGTAAAGGGCAAGGGAAGGTGGAAAAGGGGAGGTAGGGGTAGACAGGAGAATGTGAGGGAGGAGTGAGACCAATGAGGGAGAATTGGAGAAAACTCCTTGGTTGAAAGGCTCTGGGAGATTATTAGTAACCACCATTAGTAAACCCCAGCTCTGTCAGGTTGTAAGTAAACAAATGAAAGGAAGAATAAAGATAAAGTTCTCGAAGCCATGAATAGAGCACCAGACATTCTTAGGATCCAGGAAAAGACCCAAATAAGTCTTCCTAGGAGTGGTGCTATCAAAGCTCCAAAGGAAAGAAAAAGATTATAGTCAACAGGAAAATTCTGATTTTTTTTCCAGAATTCCAGGGACCTGGCCACCATCTGAACCTCTCACCAGACACTTTAAATTGATTCATGTAGTTCAATATGGAAGTGTTTCTCTAGCCTTAAAACAAAAGCCATTGAGAAAGCCTGGCAAGGTGGTGCATGCCTATAATCCCAGCATCTCTGGAGGTTAAGACAGGAGGACTGCAAGTCCAAAGCCAGCCTCAGCAACAGCAAGATACTAAGCAACTGAGTGAGACCCTGTCTCTAAATAAATACAAAATAGCGCTGGGAATGTGGCTCAGTAGTTGAGTGCCCCTGAGTTCAATCCCAGGTACCTCCTCCTCGTCTCCACCCCACCCCAAAAGCCATTGAGAATAGAGAATTCACTTTTCAGTTAAATTCTGAATAATTATGTCAGGAAATTGACCTTCTGTACAATGGGGAGCAGCTACAGTATATTTACTTTTCTGAAACATAAGCATAGGCTGGAAATAAGCAGACCACCTGGCAATCACCTACCTGTTACTCTAGACACACACACACAAAAAAAACTCCATTCCCATTTCAATAGAAGAAAGGTTTTTATTTATAAGACTTGAATATTTAGTAGTAAGACTAAGTAACTTATAAAATCTGCAGTGTCAGAAGAAAAAATTCCAAACACGTATTCTTTCCTTTCATTAAGTGAATACTAGGTAATGGAAGCAGCTTCTCAACTGCAGGCAGAATCTATCCTCTCATTAATCCCAGCTGTTTCATTACATCAATTCAAAGTTTCTAATTTCATTGTGTCTTTTCAGATACTTCCACCATTTATAGGGAAGGTAGGATTTTAGGTGGTTAAAGTCACATATGGCTGAATTTCTTCAAAAGAAATAGTTCGTTAGCAGTTTCTCTCCTATTTTTTAAAGGTGTCAGAGAACAAAGCAAAAGCAATCATATATAGTGGCACTGATTTCTGTAGGTCACATGTGATAAGAAGAAGAAAGTTTATCCACTTGTAGCCCCATTTCAGTCCTTGGAGAAGGTGGAATTTGATGGCAGCATCTGGTGAATAGAAAACTTAGAATAGAATTCAGGAAAATGCATTTACCCATCCCTTCCTGGAACAGACGGTAATAGAAAAGTGCAAAGAAAAAAGTAACACATTTCAGGTTGGGGATGTAGCTCAGTAGAAGGGCTCTTGCCTAGTGATGCCCTGGGTTCAATCCTCAGAAACAAAATCGGAGGTGGAGTGGGGTGGGTGTGGAGAAGGGAGACATTTAAAATAATAAGGGAGCTTGAGGTGACACAAACCTGTAATCCCATTGACTCAAGAGGCTGAGGCAGGAGGATTTCGAGTTCAAAGTCAGCCTCAGCAAAAGCAAGGCACTAAGCAACTCAGTGAGACCCTATCTCTAAGTAAAATACAAAATAGGGCTGGGCATATGGCTTAGTAACCCAGTGCTCCAGAGTTCAATCCCCCCCCAAAAAAAAATTTTAATAATAAGAGAACAAAGAAACCTGTACAAGGTCAAAAAAGGAGTACCTTAATCTAGAGGTCATTTAAGACATGCCTTCAGTGAATATCTGGTTGTATTTAAGCACCTGAAACACAAAATTTCTGGGAGGGAGAAACATAAAATGTTACAAAGTGAACAGATTATTAAAAAGTATTTGTATCGGGGGAAGCTAGTGTAAATGTAAATACCAGTGTTTCCCTCTTTAATAATGGATTACATTTGTCCCCCTCCTTAGTAAAGAAAAAGAAAAAAGAAGTTCTTAACCTTGGAAAAAGGTGACTTCTGGAAAAGATGCTTTTAAAAGAGAAAAAAAACTTGATCAAATAGCATCAAAACCTATTATTATGACCCATCAAACATCCTATTTTTACTTCTTTTTATGAAAGGCAAGTCTTATACATGCTGATGGTTTTAAAAGGATCTCCGGAGGTGCACTTGTTCCATCTTGTGATAGCATAAAATTGAGTCCCCATTCTTGCATTCAGGGGAGAGACAAAAGTTTCCCAAACTCTCTAGGGGCTTACATAACACAGTCATTTCTCCTTCTGTTTCTGTTTCAGCTGGATCCTCCCCACACTGGGGTCTCACCTCCCAAGATCCCTCTCCTCCCTTTACTGATCCCCAATCTGTTTAAACAGCCTCTTTTCTTAAAGCCTCACTTCCTTGTGGCATGTCATGTATAATACACTTTATGGAAGATCTGAAACCATGGTGATAATGTATCACAGCACCCTGTACATTCCAGGAATATAAAGTGTAATAACTTATTTTATGCTGCTTAGTTAAGTGAAAAATGATATGAATTTGTATGCACATCTTGATTGTGTTAACATTGCCCATGAGGAGATTTAAATAAAAAAAGAAGGAAATATGCAAAAGTGTGAATAGCAATGAAGGTAATAAAATTATCATTCATTTTTTCTTCTCCTCTCTCAAATGCTCTGCATCTTCTTTGATGTACTCATCCTACATGCAGAGGTGGGTGGCCTTCTCTTCCAGTTTCCAAACCTCTGGGTTCCCTTTTTGCATTGATAAGGGAATGTCACCTCCACCCATGAACTCTTTCAAGTCTGTGGTTTCACACTCTCATCTGCTATGAAGAGCTGTGTTCTAGGTGCTCATGAGAGATGACCTCTAACTCTGTGCTGCTGAATATTTCACAAAAGTTCCGCTGAAACTGAATAGCATAAATAGCATAAAAGGATCTGGGGGGTTCTTACTTTGCTTTACAGAATCAGACTTGGAAAATGTCAACAATGAGGGATGTCATTGAAAGCAATCCTCTACAATCCAGGGCCAGGCACTGTGGGGTAACTGAAGAAATTGATTAACAGAGCTCCAAACATTGTTTTCATGAGTAATTGAGAAAACTTACTTCTGTTTTCAGTGCCAAGGACAATTGAGCTCCTCCTAAGAAATTTCATCTTTTTAAATCATGTAATCAAATAAAGTTCCCTCTTTGTTATAGTTACTAGGAAGCCCATAGCCCAATTATTATTCTGCAGGCACACATTTTCTATAACTGCCTTCCTTTCTGTATTTTTCCCTTTAGTCCTCATTTATTTTATATGCTTTAAAAAATTTGTCCCAAAGTCTTTACGAAACAAAACACTTATAAGAAAAGTACTAGCCCTACTGTTACAAAGGAGGGAAAACATGAAAAACTGCCCACAGAATAATGGAGGCATATAACAAGAACTTCCCTTCATTCTTCATGAAAATGACAGCCAGTGAGATTCTCTTATGGCAAAACAACACTGATAAAGGAAAGGAAGAATGTTGCTCCAACCTTCAATATTTTCTCTAAAAATCCTGGGCTGTTTTCCATAAGAAAGCTGGATCTCTTTAAGAAGCAAAATGTTTTCATTGAATACATTCAAACAGTTTTTTCTCTGTGGTTTGTCCTAGGAAACTCTGTATGTAGGAGAGTACCTGATTGGTACTCTCCTACATACAGAGTTTATTTGCACCAGCATAAGCACACAACTAATATTCATTTTTTAGGAAAAGAATATAGATAAGGATCAATCATATCAATTACTCTTCCAGGGACTGTCTATGAAGTATAGGTCCTATTTCTGCGTAGCTGAGAGTACAGCAACAGGAGATGGCCAATTGCAATTCCATGGCAGACCTTATGGACACTTCCTATTGTATTAAGGTCATTGTATAGTGTCATTCCTAAATTACTCAGAGGTCCCTGTGGGACTTTGGGATGAAGTATTAAGAGTGAATGCTCTTATATTAAGGGCCAGAGAATATCCGCTTCTGTGTTTGTAACATTGCATGTAATGCTATCCAGAGGTGACTTGTTTCCGTCTAAATTATTTTTTTCTAGACATATTCCCTTCCCTTTTTGCTGAAATGAAGTTTTACCTTGTGACAGGGTTGTTCTATGTAGCCTGTTTTAACTATTGCTCTTCTCCTAAAATATATGGCCCCCAAAAGATGACTGCATTACTCATAAGCAATAATGGTTAAATGGAATAAGTCCTTACCATGTGCCAGGAACTATGAAAAGCCTTTTATTAAAATATTTTTTATTACCACCCTGTGAGGTCGGTGTTGTGGACTGAACGTCTGTGTCCCTCCAAAATTCATGCATTGACATTTAATCATCAAGGAGACAGTATTATTAGTTGGGTATCTTGGAGGATCTGCCCTTCAAGTATTAATACTCCAAATAGTATTCGACCCTTAAAACAGAAACCTGAGGGAGCTTGTTGGCCCCTTCTACCATGTAAGGACACACAGAAGTGCCATCTAAGAGGAATGAGCCCTGACCAAACAGCAAATCTACCCAGCACCTTGATCTTGGACTTCTCCACCTCCAGAACTATAATACATTTCTGTATTTACAAATGACTTCATCTAAGGTGTTTTGCTCCAGTAGAAGGAATGGTCTATCCCCATTTTAGTGTTCGGGCTCAGACTGCTAATTAACTTGTCCAAGGTTACACATCTATTAGACAGAAACAGGAATTAAACCCAGATCTATCCAACTCCCCAATAAACACTCTTAAACATGACATGATTGAGACTCTGTTTTTCCAGAAGAGCAGAAGTCTAAACTCTCTTTCCATGGCCGGCCCACATGCAATGGATCTAAGAAGCCTCAAGTAATTCCTCAGGGCTAGGGCAAGTTAATCCTTCTTTCTCCCACTTATCCCCTAGAACTAGAACTCAGACAGGCTCTTTTGATCCCAGAAGACCTTAATAGTTTCCTACAGAAGATGGATACTTTGGAAAACAAAATTAGGCCAGAAATCTGGGTCTCATGAAGTTCAAAATGGTCTTTCATTGGTTATCCCTGAGTTTACTGCAGGGCATGGACACTCCCAGCTATATCCAGAGCAGTGTAAGGCTGGACCCTTACCCTAGCACCTCTCAGTGACAATTCAGCACCCCCAGAGCATGCCTTGGAAACATGAGAACATATTTTGATTGTCACAATGCCTGGAGTTGTGTTGAGGCTGTGAGTGTGCAGACTTTAGGAGTCCAAACACTCTGCCAAACAGATGACATGGTCTACTCATCATGGAAAATGGCCTTTGGGACCTGAATATACAAGAAGGCTAGGCATCAAGAGTTTTCCCCTGTTTATAGCCGTCTGAGAAAAAGTCCTAGTTTTATTTTATGTATAAGCATAAACTATTTTTTCCTAGGTCTAATATAACTGAATTTTCTAGGAATACAGCCACTATGTCTAGTAAAAGGAAGATTGGTGTGCATTTTGTTTGGAACATCACCAATTTTAGTTCACTATTTCAGAAAATCTTATTACTAACAGCTATAGCACTTAGGATATGACAGTCTCCAGTCTAGTATACATGCATCAGTCAGCATAGGGGCTTCCACATTTACAGAGATGCTACATAAGCAGTGTCTGGCCACGGCACTTCATCTTCTGACCTGGTTGGGCCCTGTTGCTTTATATCAAATTCTTTCTGTTCATTCTCCCTTTATATTATACGAAGCACATTATTTTCATAGAACATGTGTGTGGGTGTTAGCTATGATTTCCATTTGGGGACAGAGAAGGAACATTTATTTCTCATAGGTAGGAGTAACTGATAGTATTGAGAGCTGCTCTCTTTCTCCAGTTAGACTGCAAAACCCTGTCTAGGAATCATGGGTCTTCAGGTAAAATGAAGTATGGTTCCCTATCCCATGTTATTTCATCTGAAGGTGCTCATGCCAAAAGTGACTCGGGCTCCCAACTGCCAGTTCTTTAGGTTTTACACACCAAAGCCATGTGCTCAAGTCAGAATTCTTTGCATGTTGGAATAAGGCAACATCCAGCGCCATTGCTCACACCCAGCATGACTCTTTTTATCCTCACTATGCTTTAATACAAAGATCTTTATATATTCCAATAGTACTGGATCACATAGCCCACCCTAAAGGTTTATGTAACCTGAAATTATAATGGAAAAGGCCTAGAATTCAATACCTTCCTTCCCAGGAAGGCCACTACAGTCCTCATGCACATTCACTTACTCCTATCCCCCAATCTCCCTACTATTTTGAATTCTGAATATCTATGCACTGTCACAATGAAAACTTCACTGGACAGGCTTCCAGAACCATTGATGATCACTTCCATGTATGTTCCCACAATGGGAAGAAAGAAGGGCATGAATCATTTCCTTTCATCAGTTGAAAAAAAAAAAAGTGAAACTCAGCAGTTATGGGACTTTTTCAAGGACATATAGTGTGTGAGTTGTAGAGCCTGAATGAAAACCCCAGCTTCTGAGTCCAAATGCCACCCCAGAGAAGAAAGTCTAAACTCTCTTTCCATGGCCAGTCCACATGCAAAGGATCTAAGAAGCCTCAAGTAATTCTTCAGGGCTGGGAAAATTAATCCTTCTTTCTCCCATTTATCCCCTAGAGCCAGAACTCAGACAGGCTCTTTGGATCCCAGAAGACCATAATGGTTTCTTACAGAAGATGGGTACTTTGGAAAACAAAATTAGGCCAGAAATCTGGGTCCCATGAAGCTCAAAATGGTCTTTATTGGTTATCCCTGAGTTTACTGGAGGGCAGTAAGGTGATGAAAATGGAAAATTTTGCAGTTATCTCAGATTCAAATGAGTCCTTCAATAATATAGCATTTTAAAATGCCTTCTTTCTTTCTTAAGCAAGGCAACTAGAGTCACCCTTTGGAGAAACAGAGACTATTACATATAATTTAGACAGTATTTTATAACCAATATAGATCAGAATTCTTTTCACATACAACTTACAAACTCCTACCTGTTACTTTTACATTTGGTTATTAATGGGACGTGCCTAGGCAATTTAAAATTTTTATCAAGGATCTGAAAATTTCATTTTGGAATTATTAAACATCACTGGCTTATTAGCCCCATTCATTCCTGAACTCAAAGATCCTGCCAAATCTGAGGAAGAACTAGAAGCTTTAATGGCACTATTTGTGGGATGCTTTCTTCACCAGAGGAGGAACGCTAAGGCCTCTGTCAGGTTTGAAATGGATTGCTGCTCTGACAAGGGCCATTTCCTTTCCCTTAGCAAACTGAGGGCTTCACTCTGAGGGTCTCTGAACCCTGGGAGAACATGCCAGGCTCTGCGGGACAGCTCTCCCAGTTACCTCTAAGAGCTCATCTAGAAAGAGATAATCTGAGGGCCACACACAGATCTACCAGGGAGAGTAGCTGTGGGTTTCTGGAACCTGGAAAACCACTAATGGGAATAACTCCAGGCAGTACCCACAGGGCCCACCATCAGAGTTTATATGTATAGACTCATATCTGTTCTCCATTATCTACAGCAATGTACACATACCACAGAATCATGCTGGGTTGTCAAAACTACACACAGTGGAACCTTGCTGTTAAATTCTTTCCCAGAAACAACTTCAGTACAAGATAGGTGTCTCTTGTACCTAGTCCAAAACTGTGCTGCTACATTATGCAAGGATTCCAGTACAACATATGGCACCTATGAAAGGCCCATGCCACATGCTCCAAAGGACAGAACTTTACCAATGCTTTAAACATTTCAGATTGAAGTCCAGGTTCCAGTAGGAATTTCAGTAGGTTATAGAAGGCATAGTACATATAAACTAGGTATAGATTAGTCACTTTAAGGACTCTTAAGTGAGCGCTGGGAGCCTCCCAGGGTAGGATCCTTGGATGTGGCCCCAATATTATAGAAATGTCAATGCCCAGGAAGAAAATATTAAAAATAATCAAAGGAAGACAAAATTACATGGCAAATTAATAGTAATGCTTTTGTGATCTCCAACCCTACTGAACAAGACACATATATAATAACAAATTTCACAGCTCCTCTCCCACATGATACTAGAGTTCAAGGTCAAAGTTTAGATAAATGAGGGAAAAAAATGACTGTATTAGGGAGTTCTTTGTGGAGACAGGGGACAAGGAGCTCATAGAGACAGGTAAAAGCAGGAGGAGATAAGATGATTCTGGCAGTGCAATTATAAATACATACCACCAAACACCACAGTCTTGTATCCAATCCTAATAAATCAGAGATTCCCACCACCCTCCCAAGAAGATTTTTTTAAAATTCCCAAGGAAGTATTTGGGGAGACAATAGGAAGAGCCCTTCCAAACTCAGTTAGCTACTTGAAAGGAACTGTCAACTCTCTGCTTTGGTTGTGAACTCAACATGTACACTGCCAAGTCTAAATACAGGACAAGTATTTATAGCTGAGCAAGATTTACATGGCCAGTAACATTCCTACCATAGATACTTTGGTGATTAAGAAAATAAAACACTCTGAGGGTCAACAGGAGACTGGGGGAGTTAGAGAAGGAGGAAATGGACAGTGGTTGATCAAAGGGTACAAAGTTTCAGATAGACAGGAGGAATAGGTTTTAAGAGCTATTACACAGGAAGGCAATTATAACCAATAATAATATATTTTGTAACTCAGAGTAAATTTCCAATATCTCACCATAAAAAAAAAC